CAATAGTACTGTAACTGCGACTGCAGTTTTCATAGTTACAATTATAACGCCCCAGCGCTTCCTCCGAATTCTAGGTAAACAAAAATATGGTGGTAAGAGAAATCGAAAAGGATTAGTGTTTGACAATTTCTTTTTAGCCAATACGATATTTGTAGCAGTAAAAGGATTGTCCTCATTTTGATATAGTGTGTACATATGTATATTTTTATTATCATCTTAATATTGTCACAGATATTACAGACGTGCATCTATATAAAGATTAGAGTAAAAATTCCAGCTAAATATAGTTAACAGTAAAACTTAAAATCGATACTATAATAGCACACTTCATAATCGCATTAAAATATTAGTTGAATTCATGGTGTTGTATTAAGATGGCGCTCATATTAAAAAGCAGCTATTCCCATGATAGCAATTGTAAGTAAAATCTAAAAGGATTGTTAAATATGAAAAAACTCATTGATTAGAGATGTGCTATACTACAAACGCGATTTTCGTAATTGTATCATTAAAAGTATTTAATTACTGTTAAGTTGAATGCGATAATATTATATGGTATGTATGTATAGATATAGTATATATATATATATATTGATTCATAATTTATTATAATATTATAAGTTAATGGCAAAAGAAAATGTGGGATATTTGAAATGTATACCTCGAAAGTAGTAATTGTCGCATGAGTTGGCTCTCCTTTCTGTATGTGCAAGGCACCGGGGCGTATACATAATGAAAGTTCATCAGGCTGATTATTTACTTCCATGTAACTACAAACCACCGCAATTCGAAATTACATAGATTGCGAGAAACAAGAACATCGAATATTTTAATTCAAAATAATGTAAGTATGTTTTGTTTATTGCAAACATATCGTTGCCTAGTTTCGTTTGTTTAAATATTCTTGTAAGCTGCAGCGGATCTGTCAGTAAGGAAAGCAAATTCGGCGATTGTAATTTTATTTGTTTTAATAAAAAGCCACACAATTGTATTTTACATCGAAAAAAATGTCAGCAGAAACAATCTATACAACATCTATAAAAAACTTAGCGTTTATTTATTTTTTCTTTGGAAATAATGTGATACAAACAAATATATTAATGTGAGCCGGCACAAGTTAGGAGAGGCAATTCGCTTCAATACTGCTTGGTAAATTAATGCAAAACAAATTAACGTTCATGTCCGTTTTAGACTTTACAGTTCTGAAAACACAAAAATTATCCAAATAATAATAATAGCTTCTGTCAGAATCATACATTTATTCTTATTAGAGATTGTACATACGTATGTAAATATATACACATAAAATACATACGTACACAAAAATATGGATGGTAAAACAGATAAAAAAAAAACATTTGCAGCTGACGCCAAATAAAAACTCATTAACTAAGTAAATTTTGCCTGAATATTTTCACATATAATTTTATGTATTTAAGATATGTATATATAGAGTTTTGGCGACAAGACAACCACTAAATGGGTCGTTGGTTCCCAACCTGACTAAAGCTGAACTAAATTATCGAAATTTGTTTCAAAAAACGTACTGCAAATGTATTATCTTCCTGCTTCTGATCTATCTTCCTACCTTCTTTCGTTTCGGAGACATCTTGTTCAACTATTCAAACAAATAAGCTCTAAGGACAGTAGCTACCAGACAGCAGTTATTACCAGAGCTGCTTCGATTAGGGACTAAAAATATATGTGTATATATATATATATATAAATATCTATTTTACTATGTTTCTTTAAATCTGTCAATTGATAGGGTAATGGACCAATTATACATAAAAATCTACATATACAATAAATATATTGGAATATTCTGAATATAAAAATATAATTGTGAAGTATGTATGTATGTATATATATTTATATTTTGTAAAAGTTCATTAAATAGAAAGTTCCGCAAATGCGCTCATCATATTAATTGGCTATTTATAGTATTGGCCAAGGCGGCATCACTCCAACGACCTCACCTTAACACCGCACATCATGCTTTACCTCACCCACTCAACAGAAACATATATGTATGCATGCATTTAATGCTATATACATACTTGTATATACTTACATTGCATGTACATATGTAAGAGTGTGCATAACTTGATATTTTAACTTTTTGTTATTTTAGGTATTTACAAATAAAAATATATTAATTTTGGCAGGTGTTTACAGAAATAGAGACGACGACGGTCGCCACGAATGACTACCTTTAAAGTTTCGTACTTAAACCAAATTTATTAAGCACATATTTAAAACCAAACGTACATTTACAATATGTATACGAAGGATTGGGGCGAGTAATGACAATAATATTATATATGTGTGGTTCATCAATTTAAATATACATATATACAAAAAAAAGTATATTTGTCTATGCTGAAGTGAAATATTTTCACCAATTAGCAACAAAATGTCTTGAATACAGCAAATGATTTTAATCCCATTTTTCAACGAAAGCGATGAGAGGAATAGTATTTTGATTTCAGCCACCCGACTTTGCTTTCTACATAAAAATCTTAAATTTGCATTAAAAATAATAAACAAATAAATTACAAACCATTAAATATATGTAAGATGTAAAAATATTTCTTATTGAACAAGAAATGTAGTATAGAAAATCGTGTCATTAATAAATTTATTATATTGCTTGTAATAAGGATACCAATATATTCTTAAATATATTTCTTTGTCATATACCGATTTTTTAAAAATTGGTTTACCTATTAACTAGAAAGCATGTGTATGAAAATATGCGCTAATTAATTGAGGAGTTATGTACGTCTTAATTTTCGATGTTTTTACTGTCAACTCGACAGCAATCCTCCAATTTTTTCGCCTTAAAGTTACAATAAACGCGAATAGGATGATTTTAGCTGGGAAGTGGCATGAGAGCCACTAACTTAGCTAAATAACTTCTTAAATCAAACAAATCCAGTTCCTTGTAATGTTAAGAAATATATTCAAATATTTACAAACACGACAGCTTTCTTTAATTACCTAACTCCGGGCCCATACAATGTATCAACAGGGATAGGATGATTTTTCAATAAAATCTATTAACATCTTAAAAAGTTCCTTTCAATGATGCTCGCAATGAAACCAAAACTAACAAATAACTCATTAACAACATTATTTGAAGCTCGCATAAATACTCTCGAACAAATCTAATAAAAAATCTGCGACTTTCCAGTGGTAATCACAAATGTACAACGACATAGGGTTAGAATTTAAAAGAATACTAAATAAACTAAAGCAAAAATAATTTCGTTTAAGCAGGCATTAGCGAAATTCTTAAAAATTACATAAAAATACTTTAGTTTACGTTATTATTAACCAAGCACATAAACATATGTATATATGTATGTACATATAAATATGTTACATAAATACATATATTTATTGTATAAACTCATATGATCAACTATTCTGTGAGTATTGAATTAGCGTAGTTCAGTAAATCGAGTAAAGAAACACAGCATCATGCATGAAACAAGACTAATAAAAAAAATAAATATATGTTAAATTTCAAATTATCCAGCAATCTACAAAAAGCCAAGCTAAACAAGGAGGCATTCGGGTAATGGAAATTAAAACTACCTTTCTTTAAAGTTATTATCTCTTGACTTGTGTTGCTGATGATCTATAAAAACTGGAGCAATGTAGGTCGACGACGGTGTAGATAATAAATGCTTATTAGCAGTATCCATTTCTGACTTGTCCATATAAGTGCTGTTTTGCATTGGTATTTGGTCAAAGCAAATTAATGGTATACTATGTATAGGTGTTGGGCAATTCATTGCAACCACAGTAGGTGGACGTACTTGCACTAGCTGTTGGTCTTGAAACTTGTATTCTAATTTTAAGCAAATGTCATCTTCTCTATTGTTATTTTCTGATTTTGTGTACAGGAGGGTGTCCCCATCAAGCGTATTTAAAAAATCGACATTTGTAGAAGGGAAATCTGAAACATCTTCTATATCAAAATTTGACGAGTTTTGTATGGTTTCATGTGGCTGAATTTGCATAATTATCGGTGGTTGAGTCACTTCATATGATTCATTAGACATAAAAGATGATGTTGATAATGGGGATAACAACGGATATTGAACATTTGAAAATGTTTTTGTAGGTGATTTTTCGGAGCTAGAAATATAAGAATTACACGTATTGGACGCATTTGGAAATGTCTGAGCTTCGGATATTAATATATCTGGTGTATCTAATGAAGCATTCAAAAAACGCATTAAATTATCACCAGTTTCTTCATTATTATCGTCACAGTCGTCGACAGGATTGCTAACGTATGTGTTAACAGAAGAAGACAAAGAGGCATATGATAACGACAAATCACTACATATATTATCCCCTCTCATATTTTCGTCGCTTTCATGAGCCATTATTGCACTGTATATTGGATAAGCCATATCTGTAGTGTCTTCTATAGCTAAGCTTAATCCTAAATGATGGAGCACCTGTTGATGTAAATGCTGTTCTGTATCGTTGGCCAATTGAACTGTATTATCAATTAAGTTTATTTGCTGCGTAATATCTTGAGTTTTAGATAATTTAACCGAAAAGTCAGTCGGATATTCTTCCAAACTATCCAACAATTCCAAATCTAGTTGTGGCGACATTGCCGTGGATGACGTAGAAGTTGATGGAATTGAACTATATGCAGAAGACTGATCTTCAATTGTAAATATATCACTATTTACGCTATCATTTTCTGTGCTCATTGTTCTCATCGAAATTATTGGTTCTTTTGGATGCACATTTTCTTCCGATTTTAATGTAGTTGACCGAATAAAATCCATTGCGTCACACTTTGTCGAAAGCATACTTTTAATACTTCTCTATTTTTGGAACTATTTTTTTTTCACTTTTATCTTTATCAATTAAGCTAATTTTATATTATTGAAAAGTAAAAAATAAATAACTTGTAATTATTGCACCCGATCTCAGTCATTATCACGATAAAAGTCAAGAGGAATACGATCAGATACATTAGTACAATAAAAACCGAAACATTGCGGTACGCCGATCACACTGACTGATACGAATACTTTAAATTTGGGTTTAGTGAGAAGAAAAATAATTGTGTGATAAACACATTTAAATGTTTTGAAAAAAAAATCCAATTAATTTATTGCATAATTAACACAATTTTTTATAATCTAATTAATTAACAGTTTTTTTAAATACACAATATGCAATTTTTAAGCTTAAAATTAAAAGTGTAAATTAAGAAAAATGCAACCTTGCCAATAGGGAATTTTAGTGAACTGCCAGTCATCGTGATTGTCAGCATTTGTCAATTGGATCGGTGAAGAAATCCAAATAAGAATTTTATATTGTGGAAATATAGTTTTCATAAGAAAATATTTAAATATGAGTGTGCGTGTAATTAATGATGATGCTCACTTTCAATCAGAGCTTAGTTCAGCCGGAATACGTCTTGTGGTCGTAGATTTTACTGCTAGTTGGTAAGGATCTGTGGTATTTGTGCATACACGTTTACCATCATTACTTACTCCATCGAATTCGGGTCTATGTAACCTGTATGTACCAGGTTTTATATCCGGCAAACACTATCAATTCAGTAGCATTGCTCAAAAATTGTGTTGGGCAATAGTTCTACTTTTACAGCAGCGATGTTATGTACTATATTTGTTTTCCCTAATGCTCGCAGGTGTGGACCATGTCAACGTATAGCACCACATTTCGAGATTCTTCCAACCAAATATCCAAAAGCAATTTTTCTTAAAGTGGACGTTGATAAATGTCAGGACACAGCAGCGAGCCAAGGTGTTTCAGCTATGCCCACATTTATTTTTTACCGGAACAGGGTAAGGAAAATATTTCTCTAGTTTGTATCGTATTATGTATTTTTAAATTAAAATTTGCTTATGATTTATAGACAAAAATTGATCGTGTCCAAGGTGCAGATATAATGGTATTAGAAAATAAGATTCAGGAACACATCGGCTCTAGTGGTGGAGACGAAGCTGGTGAGGACTACGGTCAAGGGCTTGTATGTACGCTTAATTACAAAAATTCAGACCGTGTATAAAAATATCTTTCTCGTTTTAGATGGAGCTGAATACATTCATTTCGAAACAGGAATGTGAATGTTTGAATGAGGCTGATGACCATTGCTTAAATCATTGCCTTACATCGAATGGTGGTTATCTGCAATCGGATTGTGATGAGCAATTAATATTGTCAGTAACATTTAATCAACTTGTAAAAATACACTCATTGAAGTTCAAAGCTCCACCACACTTAGGACCAAAAGAAATTAAACTGTTTATAAATCAACCAAGGACAATCGATTTTGACATGGCTGAATCAATGACCAGTGTGCAAGATTTAACGTAAGCATTTTATTATTTCCCAAATGTATGGTTTAAGATTTTCCATTGGTTATTTATTGACTTAGCTTGGATCCCAAGGAGCTTGAGAACGGCCAGCCAATCAATCTTCGTTACGTTAAATTTCAAAACGTTCAAAATATTCAAATTTACGTTCGTAACAATCAATCAGGGGGAGAAGTTACACAAATAGATTACATTGCATTCATAGGATCTCCCATTATGACAACAAAGATGACCGATTTCAAACGTGTCGCTGGTAAAAAAGGAGAAAGTCATTAAAATAAATCAATGAAAAAATCGAAAAATAAGTTTTGTTGTGGATTAAAGAGAAATCTTTCCAACTGATTTTCTATTGTTTCTTTAATAACAAATATCATTCGGGATACATACAGCATACTACTACAATAATACTTTGGTATCTCCTTCCCAATATAATCAAAATCTATCATCTTGAGTCTATTTACAACTCATTTCATCGGCTATTTATTTACAAATTCACAATCACCTTTTTTTACCTTATATTTATTTCTGTTAATTTTTTTTATTTCATTGAAGAATTTCAAGGTGTTGGTCAAAGTCGGCTGTTGTTTTTCTCGTCAGTAGATAATTGATTTAGATTCCTCTTTTCTATATCATCCATTAGTATAGACCAGGCCTTATCCGCTTGCTGTTGGGTGAACTCATCTGACCACTGCGAACTAAAAACAATGTGTGATTTGGATACTATCTCACTATTTTCCATTTGACTATCAACTCGTTTACGAGCTTCTTCTTCGCTTAAACCGTTGCGTTGCTTAATTCGCTGCACTGCAAGTTCAGAAGGAACTATTGTTGACCATATTTCGTGACATTCATTATCCCAACCAGCTTTTAATAATATAGCAGCTTCTATTACTACAACATCGCACTTATGCTTATCGTGAACTGCGCGTATACGTTTCTTAACCTCTATTAATAGTTCGGGCCAAACAATATTGTTCAAAGTTTCTAACTGCTTAGGGTCATTGAAAACAATACCACCAAGTCTTTTGCGATCTATTCGTCCATCTTTGTTCACAATGTCTTTTCCGAAATGATTAATTATTTTATGATAGCAATCTAGATCTGGATCGTATATTTGATGTGCAATCTTGTCACAGTCCAAAATTTGTGCACCCTTTTTAAGCAACCGAGCGCACATAATGCTTTTTCCAGATGCTATACCACCTGTTAGACCAATTATATATGGCTTATCGCAGAGATTAGGACGGGGCTATATTTTAAAGAAGCAATTAATATCATTTTGACAGAAATGATGTTTTACTAACCTCCGGTAGCTGCAGTCGAGTTCCCAATAAGTCAATACGTGTATTACTAGAACTCATTTTCTTTTCTTTTGGACCGCCACTTACGTCTGTGGACTCAACAAGTCCTATGCAGTGTATTTCAAGTGGTCGCAAATTATTTTTAGTTCGTATCTCATTCACTTTATGACCGCCTTTTAGCGTTTCGGCACTAACCACTATCATGTCCATATTAGGATCACTTTGTGTCGGCCCAAAAGGATCATCAATTGGGACGACTTCATATTGTAAACTTGCATCAATTTCCGTGAGAAAATCACGTATCTCTGATATTCGAGATTCAATGGGTAAAATTAACTCCGGAAGAATTTTAGCTAGAAATTATATAAATTGATATATCGTATGTTATGGTTGTGAAAAGATGACTTACACTTGTTCATTTTATTTGTTGTTATTCCCACCACTAATCGTCGATAACAGCGTATTACAGCTTGGGTAAGGAATATCTTGTGTCCTACATGTATACGATCAAAGGTTCCACCCAGTACTACAGTATCGTACATTTTATTAGACTCGCTCACATTTTCTTGATCAAAGCCAATACTCGGGTTTTCTTCTTGTTCTAGGTAGATCGGTTGACCGGGTATTTCAAAATGCTGCAGCAAGCGTTGACAGAGTTCTGGGTAATGACTATCACAGAACAAAATATCAACTGGCTTTATTTGCAAGGCATTAACGCCTTGATCTCTCAACGATCCCACCAAAATGCTTAAAGATATGTTTTTACTGCATAACTGATTATGATCGACATACAATTGAGATATCAAATGGCCCCAAACAGGCAATGGCTGTGATTTTTCCGCGGAGATATTTAAGTGAATATATATTTTACCTACATATTTCTCTATAGTACGTAATGACTTTCCCACTTGCTTTATATTGGAAACAATCAAGAGCCCGGTAGAACTCATTTTGCTGTACTTGACACAATACTATCTAAGCGGATCAAATTAATAAACGTTACTCAAATCAAGTTGAACGCAAAAAAGTACTTCGACCATCCCCTGAAAAAGATAAGAAAATCGGCTGATTCCAATAATGATGCCAGACCTAACCGTAAAACAATCGAGTTATCACTACTATCCGTCGTAAAACAGCGTCTCGTTTCAAATTTTAAATTTTAATACATTTAATAATATTATTTTGTCAATT